TCTCAAAAAAAAAAAAAAAAAATACTGCTTATGATAAAACTCCTTTTACTTATCCAGTTACTTCCTCTCTGCCTTTGAAGATGAAAATATTCCCACTTACCTTCCTTGCTGATTTGCAACATCATTAACATAAGCAACCATTTTTAGGTACTATATAAATAAAGCTGTTCACACAGGTTAAGGGCTGGCTGCAGTCATCAGCTACACCAGACTTCCTGATCCCATCATCTCTTGTGTGATCTTTGTCTCTTGTGTAATGTATTTTCTCAATTCCCCACCATTCCCCCTCTAGGTCATTTACTCTTCCCGCTGGTTCAGGAAACCTTACCCTTGTCAGAATCATCATTATTTAAACAGTAAAAAAACATAGATGTTGCACCGTGATACTAATGGCCTTTAACAGGGAAAAAAAAAAAACAAACCAATAGATGTTGGTACAAATGGTGTGAAGAAGAAATACTTGTTCACTATTTTAATTATCAATAAGACACCTGCATTCATGTTTATCACAGCACAGTTCACAGTTGCAAAAATGTGGAATCAACCTTAAGTCCCCCCCCATCAACTGATGAGTGGATTAAAAAAAATACACACACACACACACCCCATATACGTGCATATGTATAAACATATACATACACACATTGGAATACTACCCAGCCTTTAAAAGTGAAGTAAGATGAAATGAAATGAAATGAAATGAAATAAAAATGTCTTTTGTTGAAACCTGGATCAGACTAGAGGCCATTGTCCTAAGTGAAATAACTCAGGAATGGAAAAGAAATACCACACATTCTCACCTATAAATGAAAGCTATGTTTATGCATGGTCACACAGTGTCATAAGGACACTGGAGATACAGAAAGGGGAGGTTGACAAATCCCCTTTCTCAGAAACATTTAATAACCTTACACACAGAAGCCATGTCTTGTACAGCCACAAGATAATAGATTCCTGGCTCAGTGCCTGTACCTCAGTGAGTAGGGCACCAGCCAAATACACTAGGGTAGTGGGTCCGAGCCCAGCCCAGGCCAGCTAAATGACAACTGCAACCAAAAAGTAGCCAGGTGCTGTGGTGGGTGCCTGTAGTCCCAGCTATTCAGGAGGCTGAGACAAGAGAATTGCTTAAGCCCAAAGTTTGAAGTTGCTATGAGCTGTGACACCGTGGCACTCTACTAAGGGTGACATAATGAGACTGTCTCAAAAAAAAAAAGATAATAGATTCCTGCACCCACCCTTAAAGACCTTGCTGCGGAACATGGTTCATTATGGTGGCATTTGACAAAAAATGACATTACTCTCCCCATGCAGCAGGATGTTTTCCTACATATAAATTTTTGAGGTTATTTGTGGTTACTGGATCAGTGTGGTGAAAATAGAATGGTGAGCTGCTGCCTATCCATTCTCAACTCATGTTCAATGACATCACTTTGACAACCTGGAATTGGCCATGGTGGGCCAGGGAAATTGGCAATACTAAAAACCAGGGCTTGTTTATCTTATTGAATGGTTAGACCTAAGAAGGTAATGGGAAATATGTTAATGGTGAAGATAATACTTAGAGTACATAGTGGCTGTGGCTGTTAACACTGAATACACACACACACAAAAGGAAAATATTTTCCCAGTGTTTAAAAACAATCTTTCCATTTAGTAAAGAACTCTATCACATACTGAAGAATGAAAGAAGTTCCAAGTTCTTTGTTATACATGTCTATTTATTAATGAAAAATGAAATATCACTAACATTTATTTTAAAATGGGCAAAAGACATTAACAAATATTTTTTCAAAAAAGATATACAGGTAGCAAACAAACACATGGAAAAATGTTCAATAACATACCAGAAAAATGCAATTAACATCAGAGAAATGCCATTGTAAAGCTATTAAAACAACTAAAATTTTAAAGACTGACAATAGCAAGTATTGGCAAGAATGCAGAAAAACACGAAGGCTCACATACTCTTTGTGGAAAACAAATAGGTATAGTTTAGGTCACATTTCAGCAGTTCCATATACTGTAGTATTGGCACAAAAGAAATAAATAAAACATTTATGCATATTAAGAATTCTATGCATATGTTCATAATAGCATTAGTGGTATCAGCCCAATACTGGAAAGAACCCAAATGCCCATAAGAAATGGATAAACAGAATTTATGCTGAGATAAATATAAAGATTTATGCATACAAAAAAAAAAGAAGAAATGGATAAACAAATTATGAGATATCCATGGAATAGAATACTGCTCAGAAATAAAAAGAATGAACTATTCACCTAAACAATATTGATGAATCTCAAAATAATTATGCAGTGTGAAAACAGCAGGAAAAAATGAGTAAATATTCCATGATTTTACACACATAAAATTCTAGAAAAACTATTCTCTTGTAAATGAAAATACATCACTGGATGCTTACAGGCCCGGAGAGCACAGGCAGAGGTTACAAAAGGGCACAAGATAAGTCATGGATATATCTATGATCATGATTATGATTTCATAAATTTAAATGGCAAAACTCTTAAATTATACATCACAAACAAATATAAAGTGTTGCATGTCGCTTATATATCAAGAGTGTTTGTAAATCATGATTCAAAATATCTAATCTTTGGGGAAACCGGAAGCCTTGGCAACCACATGTTGATCACCTTGTCTCTTTCCTCACAACTAGGGAAAAGCAGCCCTGCATTCAGCAGGGAGGAGAATACTGGCAAGCAACACCTGAGAAATGAATTTGCATGTTATTTAATTCTAATTAATTTAAATTTTAAGGCTCAGCGCCTGTGGCTCAAGTGGCTAAGGCACCAGCCACGTACACCCAAGGTGGTGGGTTTAAATCCAGCCTGGGCCCGCCAAACAACAATGACGGCTGCAACCAAAAAATAGCCGGGCGTTGTGGTGGGCGCCTGTGGTCCCAGCTACTTGGGAGGCTGAGGCAGAAGACTCGCTTGAGCCTAGGAGTTGGAGGTTGCTGTGAGCTGTGATGCCACAGCACTCTACCCAGGGTGACAGCTTGAGGCTGTCTCAAAAAAATAAAAATAAAAATAAAAAATAATTTAAATTTTAAAAGTCACATACGGCTCATGGCTGCCATAAAAACAAAAAAGAAAGAAAGAAAGAAAAGAAAATACTGGCAAGCAATGATGGTTATTGCAATTTGAGACAATTAACTACATTGGTAAAATCACAAAAGCTAAATCACTGGCCTACAGACTCTCCATTATCTCTATCCTCATTTTCCTTCCTCTATAGCATGAACTGGAGGTGAAAAAAACCCACAAGTCATAAAACCTTTAGATTATTTTAGCTGACAATGATCTCAGCTATTGGACATACACAGATTTCTAGGTCTTATCTCTGCTTGTAGCCAGTCACTGGAAGATTTCTGAATGCACTTCTACAAGATGCACATTCCATCTGGTTTGCTACAGGCTCCTCCACACCCAGTATTTCTCCCAAATATGGTTCATACCTGACTCTGTCCTCTTGAGTGACATCAGCCTATGGAATGACTGATATCAAGTATGTCTCCTCAAATAACCTCATAAAAAGCTTCTAAACAGTACTCAGCATTTTATGACATCCTCTGTCAACAATGGAAATTTTATCCTATTCCCAGATGCACAGAAACTTGCCATAACTGACTTCTTCTAGCCTAGACTCACAGAAAGCATAGGGATTCAGGCCACAAATAAGGCCAACAAAATCCTTGCATTCTGTCCTAGGTGGTATAGGGCAGCAAAGCAAATTTGACCAAAACCACAAGAACTATTATCAGAGGCAGGGCACAGTGCTCATGCCTGTAATCCCAGCACTCTGGGAGGTCTAGGAGGGTAGACTGCCTGACCTCATGAGTTCAAGACCACCCTGAGCAGAGACCACATCTCTAAAACTAGCCAGGCCTTGTGACAGGCACCTATAGTCCCAGCTATTTAGGAGGCTGAGACAAGACAATTGCTTGAGCCCAAGAGTTTGAGGTTGCTGTGAGCTATGATGCTACAGCACTCTCCGGAGGGCAACAAAGTGAAACTGTCTCAAAAAGACAAAACAAAACCCACAAACAACAAAAACTGCCATTTTACCTTTCCTACAGAGACCCACAAAGCTGAGATGCCTACAAAAGCTGTCCATTCCTTTATCAAGAAGCTGTTTTCAAGGCATTCCACATAGAAACAAATCCCCCCAATACAAGTAGATTTAACAATAGGCCTTTCTTCGCACAAAACCAGAGCAATGTGAGGCAGCCAATTACCAGATGGTGACTTGGAATCTAGAAAAATCTAGAAAAATTACCAAATGTCATGTAAGGCCAAGAATTTCCATGAAGGGGAGCTTTCCACATAATCCTCTAGCACAGTGGTTCTCAAACTTCCTAATGCCACAATGTATTTGCATTGTTACAGAGTTTAGCATAACCAGGCTGGGTCCAACTGACCAAAACTGGATCAAATCTTTGCTTTAATCAGCCCAAAACAAGGAATAAATTCCCCCTAAAGGCTCAGATTGCCCATGATTTCCTCCAGGAAATGAGCACAGAAGCTTGCTATGCTTTAGCATTTCAGGATGACTGATGCTCAATGTGCAAGGTGGTAGAAGGGAGATGACTTCTATCAGACAAACTGGCAATGATTTAACTGTGGCAAGGGCCTCAAGCAATCTAGAACATGCAGCGCACCTACTGTATGCCTCACACATATCTCATCCCTTTGAAGGTCTGGAAGTATGAGGTTCAACTTCAGGCTGATGGCTCCCACACAAAGGCTCAGTAATGCTAGAATACCTAAAATGATAGCACATTCCCTGCAGGTCTAAGACCTTTCTCAAGTGTGGACTTTCAGGAGCTAAACGTTAGAACTTGAGTGAAAGGCTTTTCTACATTTACTGCACTTATGAGCCCTCTCACATGTTGTGACATTTTTGGTGGTGAATGAGGCTGGAGCATTGGCTAAATGAATTCCCACATTTGTCACACTCATAAGGCCTTTCTCCAGTGTGAACCACCTGGTGTTGAATGAGGCCAGACTTTTGGCTAAAGGACTTTCCACATTTGTCACACTCATAAGGCCTTGCTCCAGTATGAATTCTCCGGTGTTGAATAAGGATGGAACTCTGACTAAAAGATTTCCCACATTCACCACACTTATAAGGCCTTTCTCCAGTGTGAACTCTCTGGTGTTTAATGAGGGTAGCTTTTTGGCTAAAGGATTTCCCACAATGGCCACATTCATAAGGCTTTGCTCCAGTGTGAATTCTTCGGTGTTGATTAAGAATGGCACTTTGACTAAAGGAATTCCCACATTCACCACACTTATAAGGCCTTTCTCCAGTGTGAACTCTTTGGTGTTTAACAAGGGTAGCTTTTTGGCTAAAGGATTTACCACACTGACTACACTCGTAAGGCCTTGCTCCAGTGTGAATTTTCTGATGGTCAACAAGGCTGGAGTTTTGTCTAAAGAATTTCCCACATTCACTACACTCATAAGGCCTTTCTCCAGTGTGGATTCTCCGATGATCATTCAGGTGGGAGGTTTGGCTAAAGAACTTACCACATTCATTGCACTCCCAAGGCCTTTCTCCAGTATGGACTCTCTGGTGTTGAACAAGTGAGTACTTGCCACGGAAAGTTTTCCCACATTTGCTACACTCATAAAGCTTTTTCCCAGTGCAGGCTCTTGTGCGGTAAACAGGGCTATGTTTGTGCCTGGAAGCTTTCCCACATTTGTCTGATTTGTCATAATTTTTCTGCCTGTGATCATCTTTCCCACACTCAGCAACTTTCTTGGGCTCCTCACTTTTGGGAAAGGCCAGGGACCTTAGAAGCTCCAACATGGCTGGGAGGTCCTTCTGAATTTCCCAACTGGGGAAGGGCTTCCCTGATGCACAGAACAAGCAGGGCTTCTCATAAAAGGGTTTGTCCATATCCATCTTCAAGGGCTTTTTTGCACTGTGCTGCTTCTGGTGCTGACAGTTTGCACATGCTCCAACCATGTATGGTTTCTGTCCAGCTAAATCAGCCAAAAGCAAAATATCTTTCAGAATTGGTACACACATTTCACAGGGGTGAACATTCTGGGTGGACAGATCTGTATTAGACTGTGACACTCCTGCAGAAACAGTCTGTTCAGAAGATATCTTTTCATCCTCTGTTCCATGCCCACAACCTGAAAGCAGAGAAATGCTGATAAAATCCATGTTGACTAAGCTTAGTGGGAGGCCCAATTATGTACACACCAAAGGAATGATTCTATGGCTTTGTTCTGAGAACAAGGGAACTGGGGACAGGGTTACTTAGAAATACTAGGCCTCTAAAAATCAAAGAGGGGAGGCTCACTATATGGAGAGGATAGAGGATGGGAAGAGACAATATCTCTAAATCACTCTTCTAAAGTTATCCTTGAATAGCCTCCAAGTCCCTAAAACTTATCACATGGTCTTCAGTAGGACCCTGTCTTCTAGTGACACCTGCATGTTGTGCAGAAGTTTGGTTGTGCCCAAACCCAGGAAAATCCAGTTGAAACTGAGTAGCAAATGTTGAGGTTTATGTCATCACATGTGCATACTTCATGTGGCATTATGTATATATGAATGTTGGAAAACATTGCAGAGCCAGAAAGGTGGAGGTAGCCAGGTGCTAAACATCACATAAAATAAGAGAAAAGTTTCAAATATGGGGAAGAAAATGTAGAAATGAGGCCTGGCTGGTGGTACATGCATTCAAATAGTAGTGAACACAGGACAGGTTCCTTATGCGATTTGAAAATAGCCCAGATATCATGCTTTCCCCTAGTTACCACTTAAAAGGCCTCCTGTGAAGCCATATTGACCCTATGAAGAACCAAGTTTCCCACCACACCCTAAACTGTCTAAGTATGTGGGACCTGTGTGAAGCACGTCCTATAGTAAACAAAAAATGTGTGTGCTCAGCACTGACATGACACAGCAATCTGGAATATAATAGCCCATAGGAAAGAAAATTAAAAACCTAGAAGGAAGGGTGGGTAAAAACAGCCCATGGTTCCCCTAACTATAGACCATGATAATAACTGCAATTGTAACACTAGCACCCACAAGAAAACGTCAGCTTACAGAGGCAGGAGAACTTGGAACACATAATCTCATGAATCTGGGCACAGTCACCCAACCAGGGAGAGGGCAAATAAGAGGAGATCTATTCAGTTGATCACAAGACACCTGCCTCCCAGACAACCTACAGCAGCTGTTGTTAGGGTTGCTGATGGAGAAGGATGCTTGGGGCAGGACAGCTCAGGGCTGGTACCCACAGCACATATCCTGGGCAAGTGGGTAAGTTAGCAGAGTCCAAGGTCTGGCTGTGGAAAGGGTGAAGAAAACAGAATAGAGACCAGGATACTGGAGTTGGTGTCTTGAAGAAAACAGAATAGAGACCAGGATATTGGAGTTGGTGCAAAGGCCTTACCCAGTGAGGCTACAAGCGCAAAGTTCTCCAGCATCACTTCAAGGTACAGGAGCCTCTGATCCTCATCAAGAAGTTCCCACTCTTCCTGTGAGAAGTAAATGTTGACATCCTCAAAGGTCACACAGCCCTGTCATGATAGAGACAGGTCACTCCACAATCAGGTTCATCCATCCATCCATCCATCCACTGCTCCCTCTCCTCCCTACGTCTCTATCTCAGAGGAAATACAGACCTTGGTGCCACTGAGGTTCATCACTCTCTCATGGTCCTAAAGATCACTGTGTCCTCCCCTAGCTCTAACAGGTAGGCAGGGAAACAACCTCTAAACTTTGGGCCTGGCATGTAGGGTCTTATCTTTTTTTGTCAGTCTGTTCCACAAGAGTCCTTCAGATGGTGCCCCTCAGACACCACCAAATGTGCGTTCATCTTTCACCTCTAATCTCTTCAATGCTAGGAATCTGAGTCCTTCAATTCATTCTCCCTTTCCACATGCACATCACTGTTTGGACCGATCATCAAGTATCACTCTCACAGCCACCACCAACTAGCTGCTCCATACCATTGGCATCTTCTTGGTCTTCCTACATGTTAACTTAGGACAAGGCATGCAGAAAGTATTTGACAAGTTGAGACAGAGTTCAATGCTATCCAATCCTCTAATGGTTCCTTACTGTCAGAGACAGCCCTCATCCTATTCTGAAGGCCTCCTTGCCTGACTCTGTTCTTTGCCTCAACCTCAGCCACCAAGAACTGCTTGGGCCCATGGTCCTCTTCCACTTGTGCTGCACATGACATCCCCTCACCAGTCACAGCCATTCTCTTACCTCTTAACCCTCATTCAAAACCAGGGGCCTTGGCTCAGCGCCTGTGGCTCAAGTGGCTAAGGCACCAACCACATACACCTAAGGTGGTAGGTTCAAATCCAGCCCGGGCCCGCCAAACAACAATGATGGCTACAACCAAAAAATAGCTGGGCATTGTAGTGGGCGCCTGTGGTCCCAGCTACTTGGGAGGCTGAGGCAGGAGACTTGCTTGAGCCCAGGAGTTGGAGGTTGCTGTGAGCTGTGATGCCACAGCACTCCACCCAGGGGGACAGCTTGAGTCTCTGTCTCAAAAAAACCAGTGGCCTCAGCGGCTCCTTATCCCAGACTCAATGACTCATAAAGATGAAGGCCTGTGCTCCTAAACCTATCCACTTAACTTTACTGAAATCTCCCCCACCCCAGCCCCTGGACAGCAACATCCTGGAAGTATGGTGAATAAGTACTAGTCCTGGCATCTTAGCTTGAGTGGCTGATCAACAGCAAAAAATTATTTCTCACAGAACTAGAGGCTGAAAGTACAAGATCAGAGTGTCAGCATGCTCAGGTCCTAATAAGGCCTCCCTTCTATGTTGCAGACTGTTAACTTCTTGTACCCTTGTTTGGTGGAAAGAGTACTAGCTAGTCCTCTGACTTCTTTTAAGGTCACTTACTAATCTCATTCATGAAGGCTCCATCCTCATGACCTAATTATCTCCCAAAGGCTATACCTTCAAATACCATTAGACTGAAATTAGGATTTAAGCATTCAAATTTTTTAGGGACACAGTTCATCACATCTGGTCTCAGTGTCATCTTCTATCAATTATTCCTGTGTCTCTGTGTTTGTCTTATATTCCTTATGCACTGGAAGCCTTGATCTCCTGCTAGGTCATCCTCTTTCCTATACCATTCCCATGGCCACATCTCTCCCATCATTGTTTATGATGCTCCCCACCTCTACCTAGGTGTCTCATCATGAAACCCAGTGATAGCTCCCATCTTTCCTTTTCTGGGCTATTCATAACATTCATGACCAAGATTCCCACTCCTACTTATAACCCATAGTCATATCCTGTGTCAAACACTGGCCACCACTTTTTGGATTTCTCCATCTTAAACGGCTCCCCAGAATTCTCAATCTATGTGGCCACTTACCCACTTGATGTCTCCTTAATTGTTCTTTGGAACATCTCAGACTGTAAAAACAGTTAGAAACAAAACTTCTAATATACCCAATAAAAACTAACTCTACTTAACATCCTAGTAAACATCCTAGGATGAGGAGAGTTACATCCTAACTCTAACTTTACATCCTAGTTGATGGAGCTTCCATCCTTCCAGATGCTAAACCTAAAAAGCCTGGAGTAAAGCTTGACTGCTACCTTTCCCTCTCTTACTCTCAAAATCTGAAAATTCAAGCAGCTCTAATTTTAAAAAATGATCCAGAATTCAACCACTTCTTCCACCTCCACAGCCCCCACATTGGTTCAGCCACTATTAACATTCACCTAACCTACTCTAGTCCCCCTGATCTTCCTATCAATATTCTAACAACCCACAGAGTAATCTCTAAGCTATGGCTAACAGGGTGCTTGATGAGATCATTGTCAGATAATTTCCACCCTCTTCTCTAAACCTCCCACTGCTCCCATCACCTACAGAATAGACACTCAATTTCTCAGAGCCATCCCAAGCCCAAATCCTGCCCTGCTGCTCCCAGTTCCCACAGGAAAAAAAAGGAAATAGATTTCCCTGAACCAGCTCAGCCTCACTTCCAAGCATTTACACATTCTGGTAACTATGCCCCAGACAACCTTTCACACTTCATTCCATTCCATCATCTACCAGCAATAGGAATTACTATCCAGAATCAGGATCTCAGGCTTGGGGATTGTTAAATGTTCTTAGCTCCAAGGACTGGATGAGGGGCAAAAGATATCCAAGGAAAAAAACTATGACTTGAGGTCAGGGCCAATGAGAGCCTGGGAAATGCTCCACTCACCTTTGTTAGGTCCATATGTGCTTCTGTAGTTATGGGAACCTGTGGAAAGAGAAAGGTCATGAGAGGCAGGTGACCACGGTAGGACTCTGCAAATTAAGAAATTCCCAGCTCTGCACCTGTAGCTCAGTGGTTATGGCGCAGGCCACATACACCAAGGCTGGCGAGTTGGAACACGGCCCAGCCCACTAAACAACAATGACAACAACAAAAAAATAGCCAGGCTTTGTGGCAGGTGCCTGTAGTCTCAGCTACTCAGGAGGCTGAGGCAAAGGAATCGCCTAAGCCCAGAAATTGGAGGTTGCTGTGAGCTGTGTAACGCCACGCCACTCTACCATAGGCGATAAAGTGAAACTCTGTCTCTACAAAAAAAAAGAAAGAAAAAAGAAAAGAAATGCCTGTACTCCTGTACAGGCTAGAGTCAGGTGACTTGGGGACGCCTGTATTATTTCTGAGCTCCAGTGCTCCAGTCATTCATTAGTGCTCACTCTCAGCAGCTCTGAGACTTTGCACAAGGAATCAAGCTCCCTGTGCCTCAGTGTTATCCCGTTCTAGAATGTTCTAACTTCGACCAGTTTTTCGAAAGCCTAACTCTGTCTCTTCTGGGCACAATCTTTTATGTTTGCACAATCCTGGGCACGTTTTCAGCGTCCTGAAAACGAGGGTAAAACTCACTTTGGCATTCCAGGCGTGAATGGTCCTGACTCAATATCCACCATTTATGTTACATCAGACTTTCTGCCCATTACATCCTCCCACAGCTCATCACGCTGACGCTGTAATGAGGGTCTCTACATATACGCTGTAATGAGGGCCCATGCTGTACTGAACAGGAAGATCTGAACTGCAGAAATCCGAGAAGGTACCCCTCACTGGGGTTTAGAATGGGATGAGGCGAAGGCAGGTGAAACCCAGATGACGCAGCCCTTACCTTTGCCAAGTCCCTCAGCGCGGCCGCCATCAGTCTGCGGAAGACTCAGAGTCAGGAGCCGGCGGGCGACCCTGCAGGAATCCGGGCACAGTCGTCACCACCAATGCCGCTGCCTTTCAGATCAGCAGCTGTGCAGCAGGGAGGATGCTTCCCTCGCACGTTCCCGCTCTCTCACCTTCGGCCCTACAAAGTGCAGCCAAGCTCTGAAGGCGTGGGTGAAACAGACTAGGGCTAAAACGACCGCCACTTGAGAGATACCGGAAGTCCCGCCCCAACCTTTGCTTCAAACGCGAAAATGACCTGTTCCGGCCGTTCATTGGCTCAGCGTCTTTGCGGCTTGGGCAGAGCCTTCTGGGTAATGTAGTTCCCCCGTCCGCGGCGGAAAGAAAGGAAACTTCCACCTGGAGAAACAAAGCTAGAGCGGCCCTGCGAAGGGCGCGGGAAATCCGGGTGCCAATTTCCAGGGGTCGGGAAGGGGATAGGCTTCTTCCCAGGAGGGACAATTGTCCAGAGGTCTTGTCTGCGGCTGAGATCTACATGATGGGCCGAGGGATGATGCTCAGATGCTTCCAAAGGCTGCGGACCCACAAGGACGCGCAATCCCACAGAGTAGCTTGGTCTCGGCGTGCGTCCAACCTCTGCAGACTCGAAGGTGCCTGGTCTTCTCTAGCGCCCGCGGCTGAGGCGGCGGAGTACGAGACCTATCCAGCCAGGACTGACTGGGTCGCGCAAGGGGCCCCAACGCGCCCCGCCAAGTGTCCCGAGGCCGCCCCGAGTCTGGGAGCCGCTCCACGACCTCCACAACTCCCCAGGCGGAGAACCAGCTCCAGAAGGCGCCGGGTCGGGTCGCAGCCCATTGTGTTGTGCGCCTCCCGGGGTCCCTGGGACGGGCGGGGACTCGGCTAGCAGGCAGCGGGCGCGGGGGCTGGTCCGGGTGTAGGACAACTTCCTGGCTGGATCAGGATGAGGCCCTCGGCCCGGAGGCCTGGAGACACGAGCACCGAAGGCGACGGGGGCCGGCCAGCCCTGCAGAGAGGCCTGAAGGAGCCAGGCCGCCGGAGATCTCGGTGCAGTCCTCTCAGTGCTGAGACTGTCGGGATCCGGCTGCTGCGGAAAAGGGGCGGCCACGGGGATTCGACCCGAGGGGAGGGCCCTACGCGGCCGCCGCAGCGGTGCTGAAACGCTTCCAGCGTGTTCCTGGGCTTCACGCTCCACTGTCTCCCACTCCTGGACCACCGGCATCATCCGATCTGCAGATTCCGCCCACACTGGCCCGCTCCCCTGTACCACGCGGGTCAGCAGAGGAAAAGAGCTGACCACGTCCCGCAAGGAACCTAGTTGAACCCCTAATCTCACGAGTGATGCACGGAGGACCCGCCAGGCGCGTGTCCTGAACCTGAGTCCTTCAGAGCGAGGCCTGCTGCGGACCAGGAGGGCAGCTGTGGCTTCAAGCCCAACTTCCGCCAGAAGACTGTGTGTCTGGAAAACTAGCCCAAAGCCCTGGAGAACCCTTCTGGCGCTGAACACTAGCAGGAGATCTAGAGTTAGAAAGAGAGGAAAGAGAAAGTTGAAAAATATTTGAATAGAGTTCAGAGGGTAAGAAGCCCTTATAGGGGAGAGATTGGGGGTGGCAGCCTGGGTGCAGGCAGCTGGGGAGTCAACGCTGCCCACAACCCCTTCTGACCCCACAAACTGCTGCCATTGCCCATCTGGGAATAGAGCGTGTATAGTAGGTTGTGATTTTACTGCTAACATGGAGTCTTTCTGGGGTCTCCACGGAAAGCTCAAGCTGTCCAGGGAGGTGCCTGCTCTCTGTTTCCTCAGGATTCTAATATAACCCAGAATGGGTGAAACAGGTAACCCATGCAACCTCCAAACAGTTCTCAGCCCAGCAATTCTCTGTCTGACCTTGAGGAATCTCACTCTGCACAAACCCACCTCAGTTTTCCAACAAACACCCTGGTGACCATGCAGATTTTTGAGGCTCTCTCTCCATGCGTATCCAATTTCAGACACAGGATTCCAGCAGCTTACACAGACCTGAGACCTGAGGAAATGTAAATGCACAGAGTAGAGCATGAGATGTCAAACCGTTTAAATGTAGGAAGAAAAGTTTATTTGAAGTGGGAAGAGCCCATACTATAAGACTTTCTTGAGTTAGGAAAATTATTTTGTGAGTTGAGTAAGTGGGGACAAAAATCTTAAATGACAGGCTCAAGTCTCACTAACTCTGCTCCAAATAGGATATCTATTTCCTGTTGGAAATTTATTTTGCTATACAGAGTTTGCTCACTGCGAGAAAGTGGATTTTTCTGACTTCACTAGGGAATGGAAGAGAGACTATGAGGAAGGTATTTAACATGTAGACTGCAAGCTTGACTCAGAGGGACAGTGGAGCTAAACAGTTTGAGTCATCTGGGCAGTGCCAGTGGCTCAGTGAGGAGGTCTCAACCCCATATACCAAGGATGGTAGGTTCAAGCCTGGCCCTGATCAAATTGCAACAACAACAAAATTAACCAGGCACTGTGGCTGGCACCTGTAGTCCCAGCTACTTGGGAGGCTGAGGCATAAGAATTGCCTAAACCCAAGAGCTGGAGATTGCTGTGAGCTGTGATGCCATGGCACTCTACCCAGGGCGAAAAAATGAGATTCTGTCTCTTAAAAAAAAAAAAACAACCCCAGTTTGAGTCATCTTTGTATCAGTATATCTATAATGTTCATGTTAACATCTCCTATAGGACTTATGATTTCTACAAAGTAATTGCCATTGAGCAGCTCTGCACTGAGATCAGAACTTAAAACTGAATATTCTGACTCAACCAAGTGCAATATTGGTGAACAATACTAAATTAGGTGACCAGATTTTTAACATTATATTATAAGGTGACCAGATTTTAACATTGGTAAAGTGGGATACCATTGATGGGGGGAGGGGGGTCCTTAATTAAAAATTTGGTCTATATGGAGCAACAAAAATTTTCATTGAATGCAAAAATAGTATTGTAATTTTTTTTAAATTTCAACATAAGTACAATTTACAAATATACATTTAAAGAAATTATGTATAGTATTTTATTCTTTGGCATATTTCTCATTTGAGTGAATTGTTTTTAGTAGATTGCTGTCGTTGTTTAAAAGGTCATGAAATTTTTCACAAGAATTTGTTAAATTATATTTCACACATAAAATGGCTTTCAAAGTCTCAACACTTAATTGTGATTTTTCTGATGTCCACACTTTATTTACCGTAGGAAAAAACACGTTCAGTCATAGCATTAGTTCCTGGTAAGGACAGCGCTTATCCCACAATTTTTAGTGCATTATTGTATGGAACATGGTTTGTTTCAAAATGATGAAATATTTCTAAACATTTGTTCTCTGTTGTGATTTTTGCTGATGCCGAAGATTTAACCTTTTCCTTATCAATATATATTTTTAATAATGATACCTCGTAAATTGTAAGTGGCACTTTCAAGGCCGGCGCTAGACTTTTTGCCATCACTATAAAATATAAATAATATGAATACTGTCTACTAAATTCATGAAATAAATAATTACTTACCTAAATTATCTGAATAGCTGATTTGTTGACATCACTTGTTTAACTAGCACTAGCACCCAGTACAATGTGTATAGTCTGAGAGACAGTTACAAAATGTTTTCATTGTTGCCAATGCCAAAAAATGCCATTGTTCATTAAGTCCAAACAATTGTGGTCGAATTCTAACAACTGATCAACAATGCGAAGTTTGATAAGCAGTTCTCAATAATCAGTTCTCAACAATTATTTGTTGTTATTAAAGTTTAACATTATAAAATTAACAAAAATAATATAAAACTCAAATCCTGGTGAACTAGCCACATGGTAGCCGAAAACCCTCTATTCCCTTCCCATTCTCCCGCTGTTCCCTAGCTTGCCATGCATTCTTTCCAAAAATCAGGACTTTTTAAAAATGCCACAGGACACAGGACAAATTGTTAAAAAGCGGGACGTCTGGTCACCTTATCCCACCACAATGCCTAGCTATTATTTTTTAGAGGTGAGGTCTCGCTCTGGCTCAGGCTGGTCTTGAACCTGTAAGCTCAGGCAATCCACCCACCTTGGCCTCCCAGAGTTCTAGGATTATAGGCATGAGTAACCTTGCCTGGTCCCACCCGGCTATTTTTAGAGAGGAGGTCTTTCTATAGCTCAGGATTGTCTGGAACCTGTGAACTCAAGCAATCCCCCTGCCTCAGCCTCCCAGAGTGCTAGGATTATAGGTGTAAGCCACCAGTTTGGCCTAGATGGGTTTTTTTCTTTTCTTCAAGACAAGAGTCTCATTATGCTGCCCTTGGTAGAGTGCTGTGATGTCACAGCTCACAACAACCTCAAAGTCTTCCACCTCTGAGGGGGAAGGAGGAGGAGGGAGTCGAGCTGGGAACTTGTCCCATTCCTAGGGTCGACTCTGGGGGGAGGGAGGAGGGGGGAGGCAGACTGAGAACCTGCCCATTTCAATGCGCCTTGCCACTAAGTTCATCTTTTAAAAATTTCCAAATTTTGTAGACTATGATAACTGTTCCTTAATAAAATTCACTGAAGGTACCAGCAAGTCTTCGGCCACATTGTTTCTATAGAAAGACAAGAAATACAAATAAAGCCTCACTGTTTTAGTTGTTCTAAAGAACATCAAATTGAAGATTGCCCAATGCCCTGGAATGCTACTCAAATAAGAGGAGGGGTAGGATCACCCATGTGGCTTACCCAGCAAGACTAGGTTCTCTAGTCTCATACAGAATCCTCTGGGCCAAGTCCAAATGAACACATGTCTACCAGGTGAAGGTTATGGTCAGAGGCAGCAATTTGCCCTCGGGCTATTGGATATTAGAACTTATTTTGGGGGCCAGTGCTGTGGCTTACACCTCCCTGGCACTCTGGGAGGCAGAGGTACGTGGATTTCTTGAGCTCGGGAGTTCAAGACTAACCTGAGCAAGAGTGAGATCCTGTCTCTAAAAAATAACCAGAAGTTGTGGTGGGTGCCTGTTGTCCCAGCTACTAGGAAGGCTGAAGCAAGAGGATCGCTTGAACCCAGAAGTTTGAAGTTCTTTTGAGTTATGATGACACCACAATACTCTACTGAGGGCGACAAAGTGAGACTCTCTCTTAAAAACAACAACAACAACAAAAAAAAACCCTATTACCTATTGTTTGGTCACAAAGAAAGGCACAGAGAGACCCAGGACTTCTGAGTGTTAAACTCAACCGGGGGAAAACGGGAGAGAGGGACTCTGCCTCTGGACATAGTGTAACTGGCAAAGGGAAAATCCTTGCTGCCATTTCAGAGTCAAGAGTTCTGCTATCCTGGCTCCCTGTAATTCTCTCCCTGTGACATGTCCTCCTTCACAATAAACCATCCTGTGTGAGCCTGTAGGTTATGCCAAGGTGTGCACCCTGCTCCTTGCTCTGAACCATATCAACCCTTCATCCTGACTGGAGAACAATGGGACTTTCCCTCCAATCCAGGCTATATCTGCATTGTCATACTTAGTATATGGAGATTGTGTGATTGTGCTTGTCATGAAAATAAAAGATGCGGCCAGTAACTGTATGTGTGCATGTGCTTTTTTTTTTTTTTTTAAGACAGAGCCTCAATCTGTCACCCTGGGTAGAGTGCAGTGACATCACAGCTCACAGCAGCCTCCAACTCCTGGGCTTAAGGGATTCTCTTGCCTTGGCCTCCCAAGTAGCTGGGACTACAGGCGCCCACCACAATGCCTGGCTATTTTTTGGTTGTAGCTGGCATTGTTGTTTGGCAGGCCTGGGCTAGATTTGAACCTGCCAGCTCTGAAGTATGTGGCTGGCAACTTAGCCACTTGAGCTATAGGCGCAGAGCCATGCATGCATGTACTTTTATCAGAGGCTCATTTGTTTTGCTACTAGCTCCTCCACTCCCTATTAATCATGCCCAATATTTTTATACCAATTGTGGCTCATACCTGGTTCCCACTGGCTCATGAGTAATACCATCTATGAAGTTATGGACATCAGGGCACATGGCTCCTTTGCAGAACCTGGGGAAAAGCTTCTCCTCAACAGTGCTGAGCAATTATGTGACAGCTTGCAAGAAATTCATCCAATTCCCTGAGGTACTAGGGTTTGTGTTAACAACCATCCTACTCCTAAGGGGTAACCATGGGTTTTTATCAAAGATAAAAGTATCTTTTATGTGGCTCAGCTGGTAGGGCACTGGCCCCATATACTGATGGTGGGTTCAAACCCAACCCTGGCCAAACTGCAACAAAAAAATAGCTGGGCATTGTGGCGGGCGCCTGTAGTCCCAACTACTTGGGAGGCTGAGGCAAGAGAATTGCCTAAGCTCAGGAGTTGGAGGTTGCTGTGAGCTGTGATGCCACAGCACTCTACCAAGTGTGACAAAGTGAAACTCTGTCTCTAAAAAAATTAAAAGTATCAGGGCCACAAATTAGACCTCTATTGTTTCTTAGGTGTTGGGCACCAAGACAAATTCAACCAAAACTAGAACTACTGGCATCTTACTTTTCCTACAAAATCCCACAAAATTGGGGGCCCCACAAACTTTCCATTTCTTCATACAAACAAACCCCAACTTTAGGCCTGGTGTGGTGGCTCATGCCTAGAATCCTAACACTTTGGGAAGCCAAGGTGGGTTGACTGCTTGAGCTCACGAGTACGAGACTAGACTGAACAAAAGCAAGACCCCCATCTCTACTAAAAACAGAGAAACTGAGGCAAGAGGATAACTGGAACCTGATTTGGAGGCTGTGAGCTATGATGCTACAGCACTCTACCTAGGGCAACAGCTTGAGAATCTGTCTCAAAAACAAAAGAAAAAAAGCCCAACTTTGTTTTCCAGCCACTCCACACAGTAAATGAAACCCAAGAACACAGGTAGATTTAACAATAAGGCGTTTATTAGTGCACAGGCCAGAGCAATGTGAAGCAGCCGATTACCAGTAGTGACTTGGAGACTAGAAAAATTACCAAGTGTCATGTGAGGATTTCCATGAAAGAAAGCCTTCCACATAAACCTCTAAGACAGTGGTTCTCAACTTTCCTAATGCTGCAACCCTTACAGTTCCTATGGGTCTTGACCCACAGGTTGAGAACCACTGCTCTAAGAGAACCCAGATTGTATCTACCTGGCCCAAAATGGAACAGATACATGCTTTACATCAGTTAGAAAAAGGAATGAATTCTCTCTAAAGACGCAGACTGCTCACGATTTCCTCCAAGAAATGAGCACAGAAGCCTGCCATGCCTTAGTATTTCAAGGTGACCAATGCCCATTGTGAAGGGTGATTGAGGGGAGATGGCTACTATCAGAGAAACTGGCAGTGATTTGACTGAAGCAAGGGCCTCAAGCAGTTTAGAACATGCAGCTACTGTAAGCTTTATACACACCTGGACCTCATGGGGAATCTCATCCCTTTGTAGGTCTTAAAGTATAAAGTTCAACTTCAGGCAGATGGGTCCCTCACAGAGGCTCAGTAGTGCTAGAATACTTAAAGAGACAGCACGTTCCTGCAAGTCTAAGACCTTTCTCAAGTGTGGAGTTTCAGGAGTTAAACAATGTCAGACCCTGGGCTGAATGCTTTTTGGTGTTTGCAGCTTTAATGGGGCCTTTCCAAGGTGTGAGATTTTCGGTGGAGAATGAGGCCAGAGTGTTGTGTAAATGATTTTCCACATTTGCCACACTCATAAGGCCTTTCTCCAGTGTGAACCACCTGGTGTTGAATAAGGCCAGACTTCTGGATAAAGGATTTTCCACACTGGCCACAGTCATAAGGCCTTAATCCAGTGTGAATTTTCTGGTGTTCAACCAGGGTATAGTTTTGCCTAAAAAATTTCCCACACTCACTGCACTCAAAAGGCCTTTCTCCAGTGTGAGTTCTCTGGTGCCGAACGAGTTTAGATTTGAACATAAAAGCTTTCCCACATTCTTCACACACATAAGGCCTTTCTGCAGTGTGAACTTTGTAGTGTTTATTGAGGGTGGTTCTTTGGCTAAATGATTTTCCACACTGGTCACACTCAAAAGGCCTAGCTCCACTGTGAATTAACTGATGCTGAATGAGACCATACTTTAGGCTAAATGATTTCCCACATTGGCCACACTCATATGGCCTTGCTCCAGTGTGAATTATCCGGTGTTCCAGCAGGCTGTGGCTTTGTGTAAAGAATTTCCCACATTCACCACATTCATAAGGCTTTTCTCCTGTATGAGTTCTCTGGTGCCGAACAAGAGTGGATTTGGACCCAAAGGCTTTTCCACATTCATTGCACTCGTAAGGCCTTTCTCCAGTGTGAATTCTGCAGTGTTCAATAAGGTTAGAACTCTGGCTAAATGATTTCCCACATTTGCCACACTCATAAGGCCTTTCTCCAGTGTGAACTCTGTGATGTTTAATGAGGGTAGCTCTTTGACTAAATGATTTTCCACACTGACCACACACATAAGGCCTTTCTCCAGTGTGGATTCTCTGATGGTCATTTAGGTGAGACATTTGGCTAAAGCATTTCCCACATTCACTGCACTCATATGGCCTTTCTCCATTGTGGACTCTCTGGAGCGGAACAATTGAGTACTCACAGCAGTAAGCTTTCCCACATTTGCTAGATTCATAAAGCCTTTTTCCAGGACAGACTTTTCGGTGAACCAAAGTACCTTTGTGGTTAGAAAGTTTTCTGCATTCGTCCCACTTGTAATGACCTACTGCAGTGTGAAAAGCCTCCTCATACTCATTTGCCTTCTCAAAGTTGGGAATAGCCTGGGGCTGGAGAAGGTCCAGTGTGGCTGGGAAGTCCTTCCCCAACTCCCCAGTGATGAAGGGCTTCCCTGACACATGGGATAGACAGTGCTTGTCTGTATCCCTTTTCAATGGTTTCTCTGTACTGTACTGCTTCTGATTCTGGTGAAAGATCGCACATGCCCCAATCAAGTACGGTATCTGCTCAGGTGGATCAGCCAGATATAAAATATCTGTCAGGATTGGCACACACATCTCACAGGGGTGAGTATTCTCGGTAGATGGACCTGCCTTCAGACTTCCAACCCGTGACAGTCCTTCTATAGAAGGTGCAGATGTCTCTTCATTTTCTGTTCCATGCCAACAAACTAAAATCAGAGAAACAAAGGCAAGAACAAAGGTAATGAAATTCATGTTGAAGGAGGTGCCTGTGGCTCAAAGGAATAAGGCGCTGGCCCCATATGCCAGAGGTGGCAGGTTCAAACCCAGCCCCAGCAAAAAAAAAAA